TTCGGTGATGAACCTTCGGGTTCCGTAAGCCCTCTGGTTGGTTGGGTCCACTATTTGGGAAGCCTGAGGGGAAGAGACCTCTGGGGAGACCTAGACGTAGATGGGAGGATAATCTCAGGCGGGATCTATGGGAGATAGGAGTTGAAGGAAACTGGATTTTGTTGGCCCAGGACAGGGTCCGGTGGAGGGCTTTGGTTAATTCGGTGATGAACCTTCGGGTTCGGTAAGCCATCTAGTTAGTTAGTTAGTTAGTTATCCATGGTCAATAAGAATGATATTTATTAACAAATTTTAAACTAATACTAATTATTTCCAAACCTGTTTAAACCCATTTTTAACTCATTTCTCCCACATGTGTTTATGTTTTCAGTTTTAACTGTTCTTTGTAGATTTATATTCAAATAACGAGGTTGGTCGTTGACAACAGAATAGTTAAAAGATAATGAACCTGTATTAATACACATAAAATGGACACTTTTATAAAATATCAGTTATACCTAAAATATAGCTCCATGTAATTAAGTCAAAAGCCTAAATTAAAACTAACTAACAAAGAAGATGGCTTAGGGAAACTGAAGGTTCATCACCGAATTAACCAAAGCCCTCCACCAGTCCGTGTCCTGGGCCAGCAAAATCCAGTCGCCTTCAACGACTATCTCCCATAGATTCCGCCTGACATTATCCTCCCATCTGCGTCTAGGTCTCCCCAGAGGTCTCTTCCCTTCAGGTTTCCCGACCAGTACCCGGCGCAAACCTCTCACCCCATCTTTGCTTGCATTCTTCTTGACTTAATAATTTAAACTAAGCACAAAAATATTTAAACAATACCTAGTCCTTTAATATTTGGCAAATTTCTGTTTAGCTGAAGATGATTGACTTCTGGGATGTTATGCTCTGTGGTCCTGTCAGAGATGCTCAGGTGCAGCAACTTGGTAGACAGCCATCTTATACTTGTTACGTTGGTAACCTGAAATCGCACTCTGCTTACCTATTTGTACGTCTTCTGTTATTTCTCTGGAAATGAAGGGTACACTGGGGTACAATCTCAGAGACTCTTTGATGACCCTCTCAAGGTACTTCATCTCACTGAGGTCCTTCATCGTGGCAGGGCGGTCGGACCCTTGGAAGATGCTCTTCTGCTCCTCATATACGATGTTCTGGAAAATATCAGTCCATCTGCAGGTGGTGGGTTTTTTTGTTGCATGTCTCTGACAAAAGTTCTGTGTTTCCTCTTTCATTATGTTGATTGACTGGGTGCCTAATTGATTGACTAAGGGGCGTACTGTTCCCCTGAAGAAGTGTATGAATGACTGATTGGCTGGCTCCCAAAGTCGCTGACCAACCAAATTACTATATAACTTTGTAATTGAATTGCAGATTCACTGACAAAACTGGCGTCTTACAAATGGGACATTTCTGTAAAGGTACAGCATTCTGTCGTTGTTATGATGGTGTAGTTTAGGCTGATAATTGCAGAGGGAAGTTGTGTCTTTTGCCTCAGAAGTGTGCATGGCAGTCATGTTTATATTACTGATCTTTGGGTATGGAATTTGTAAATAAATCAGGGGACATTAGCACCTGACTAATGGGGCTCTGAAGAATGAAGGATGGCTGCGTTGTCGACATTCATCTTTGGGTTGTAATGCTGCGTGGACTTGTAGTTACTGCATTTTGGAGAAGCCATGAAGATGGAAACAGTGTGTTTCTCAGAAACATCGGTACCTACTTTACAAGTCCACATGGTGTTACAGACCAGAAAACTACCAACACTTTTACCGCTATGAGAACCTTTCTCATATAATGACGTATTCTTTCAGGGTCCTCAGAGTGTCATGGTAGCCCATATTTAATTTCTTACCTGTATATCGGTGTGCAGGCCTAACAAATAGGCTGCCCAGGAGATACCAGCACTCGTAGTATCATGACCCTGAAAGAATAAATTGGTGTTGATTTAAACTCAAGAATTTTGTAGAATTACCAACTGCAATAAGGCAGCGTGTTTAGAAGACCTAGGTACAAATGGGACGGTGTTATGGAAATAGGAAGCAAGGTGAGATTGGACCGCCTCGGGATAGGGTTCAGTGATAAGCAGTTGTGAACATGGTAGTGAAGCTTGGGTTTCCGTAAAGGATGAATATCTTGACCATCTGAGTAGGTATCAGCATTTCAAGGAGGACTCTATTGCACGGTAAGATTTTTATATTAATGTTATAGTACCAATGTCCGTAATTGAATCGTGAGACTAACAGATGACACTTGAATGTGATGATGACATTTTGAAAATCTTTAAAGAAAGAAATTAATATTCTTTAACACAGTTTCATATTTGAATGTAAACTTTCACCTACTTCAAACATGAAAGTGTCCACTTCCTCCCTCAGCTCTTCATCCGTCAACTTGACGCCGTTGTGTGATGCATCCAGCAAGAGATCCAAGAACGCCAGCCTTCTCTTTGTGCCTGAAATCCATTAAAAAATACTGTGTGCCAAGTTATTTGAACTTTCATTTATCATCTGTATTCGAAATACTTCCAGAAATGGCCTCGTCATAACAGCGCTTGTGAAACAACATTCTGCCATCTAGTATCGTTGCTGAGAATTTTTAGGCCAACCACGTGTGCCTGAAGATAAACAAGCGAATGTCGAACTGGGCATTATACAGCACAGATAATTTCAATTGATTCCCAATAGAAATTTTAGCGATATTAAATTTGTTGTCTTGATTTTTCTACAAGTCTGACTTTGATAATCACAATAGTACTGGAAATTATATGATGTTACAATTTGTTTTCCGTTGTCAAATTCAGGTTACTCTAAGAAATAACACTGAGCAGTGAGCAAATAACTTTGCCTCATTACATGCCATGTAGGCACTTGGGAGGAGAGGAGGTACAGTTTCTTGTCATTCTTGACCTTGGTACTAGATGTCAGCATCATGCCTCATCCATGCTTTACCCCCAGGGAAAGGTCCTCCAGTGGGCCTTAGAGCCGATCTGGATCCAAAGCTTAATAGATAAATCCTTTGCCCCTGCTGAGGATCAAACCCTGGTCATTCAGTCTGTAATTAGACACTATACCAGATGATCTACCCTGGCTGCATAGCAGGAGATGCTCAGATTGAATGTTAGCCTGAGTTTGTTGTCTTCCCAGCTTATTACAGTAGTATCATAAAATAGGCTAAGACCACTTCCTTACTGATTTCTCCAGATTTATCACCCGCAGTCTGTCTGCAATATCATAGTTGACTCATACAGCACTCTCAAATAACAATGATCAACTAACCTAGAGCGGCCTCCTCTGTCGCAGTCGATGTCTCGTATTCTTTTTGTGTTTGCTTATGGAGTTCCTTGCGTTCTTGAATGACCTGGAACAGCGTATTACACCCTGCATCATGATTGTACAGTCGGTAAATGAATACTTTGGTGTCGCTAATGGAGCTAGCACGCGTTACTTTCTGGGTCATTTCCTGTTGTGTTTTCAGAGGAATTCATTGTTGGTAAATTCAATTTGAAATACGATGATCATTTAATTCAGTAGTTTAATAACAAGCATGCATTTTAACGGCATGCCAAAACTTATGATAAACAAACTCTTACAGCATTTTTCATTTCAATTACATGATCTTTTTCTGCATTATTTATAATGCTGCTTAGTAGAACGTAGTTCTTACTGCCACTCAAAGATGGCAGCATACTGTACCCTATTTGTGAAGCCATGCAGAACTTTGAGGCACTCGTCATGTCTTCTGCCAGCTTTCGTCAGCTGAAATACCCAGTCGGGATACAGCCACGGACGAATCATGCGAAATAGTGTCAGCTCGCTCATACTGCACAGAAATGGATGTCACAACATAAATAAAACACTTAACGCTTTCTTGGTTCATGGATAGTTTACCCTGAGCATGGAGACAGCTAGTCTTCAGAATGTTGACTTTTGACTCAACATTAATATGGCTGATCGCCCAAGACAATTTTATAACATTGTTTGTGTTCTGTTGTATATTAAGTCGTACAACAAGCTTTCTTCCGCATTTAAGTGGCTCGGAGGTGAACATTATGCATTCTGTGTCTTTGCCTTGAGAAATTGGTCCATGCACCCCTACGAGCAGGAGGCTGACCAAACCCCGGGCACTGCACTGGTCATTCTAGGAATTGGTTAGGCCCTGATCACATAGTCTGCGTTTAATTTAATTGTTTTTTTATCTATGAGTGTACCAAATTTAGTTGAAATTAATAATCAGGTCACTCGTTAGTATGGAATGTCATTTATTTCTCGAGAGTTTCGAATTACGATTGCAGAAAGTTTCCAGAATCAATTTCACATTCCTCATTGGTCTTGAGATTACTTTGCCGTCTTTACCAGATTCTGTCCTTGGTAATGATGGTCACTGATATGACACTTAAACCCTGTGTTTTCATATAAAATCTCGCATTCTTACGTACTCGTACACAGCAGACAGATAGTCTGAATCTGTTTCCTCCTGGGCATGAACTGCTGTGCCCATGGCTGTCTCTGCAACATAGAATTATTGTTTCATTATACAGCCTGGCAGGTTTTCGTGGACTTTCTCAGTACGCCCACGCTAAGAACTTAAGCGTACTTCCTATCCATGAAGGGAAGATTTCATGCAAAAAATATAACCGATTTAAAAAAAAATGGCCTCTGACTTCAAGGGAACACGCCCCATTCTGCCGATGAAATTTAGAACAGCGCCTGTTTAGTTTAAAAGCAATATATTTAGGACTAATGTGATGTAGGGGTGTTACTGGGGACCACCTCTTTTGGATTTATAGAGTTAAATGGTAACATTTGTACCACATATGATGTCTAGGGCGCACTTGGTGATGTAGGGATACACGTCGAAGCCCTGAGATCCGACTTCCTTCTGCAGCTTTCTGACCAAAATCTCGCTCTTCTCCGAGAACACTTCCAAGAAGTTGTCCAAGATCTTGAAGTGGAAAGTCGGCGTTATCATCTTCCTGTGGGTGTGCCACTTCTGACCTGGTGAAAGTCGTTTGAAAATATCATAAGACCCTGCCTATTCCACCTCAAAGAAGAAATTAAAAATGGTACAACTAACTGGTCCTTTCAGTGTTGATATCCATGCTTAAACAGAGAGACATACTCTGTAACAGGGTGTCAGAGAAGGAATTTCGTACCTCAGTATACTCCTACGTACCTTTGGCAGTGAGCAGGCCTGTTCCAAGCCAGGGATGCAGGAAATTGTACAAGAATGACTTATCTATGTGTTTACTACTGCCCAGTATTGTCTGAAACAATCACCAGAATCAAAAGACGACGTACTGTGGTCGCACATACACTGTACTCCATAATTATCTTTACAGCTTTAATACTTAATAACCAAATAATGAGATGGGATTTCACAATGCAGTTTTTTGCAACCCCTCTGGACTCTTTTTATGGGGATATGTTAAGGATATAGCCACGGTGGTCTAGCGGTTAGAGCGCTGGCCTTGTAATCCTGTGGTATAGGGTTCGATTCCCGGCGGTGCCCGAATTTATAACTTGTGTTGGGCAAGGCCGTGGTCTAGGCAACACGGAGTTTTCCTCCGTGGCATCCCAACAATTACTCCATTCACACACAGAAGAAGGCAATGGCAAACCACTTCTGGATCATCTGCCAAGAACGTATATGAACAGGTCCCAGTCCGAGAAGAGAAAAGGATGGAAGGATCCTGTTCATATGGACCTGTTGTCAGACAGAACACTAAATAATAATAATGTTAAGGATATTGTGTACCGAACAGAGACTCGCAATTTGGAAGACCTGAGACGAAGGATTAATGCAGCCATCGCATGGAGCGAACATGGCAAGAAATCGAACTTCGTCTTGACGTGCTACGTGCAACTATTGGAGCGCACGTAGGGGTGAGAGTTACTCTTTCATATGCAAAAATCCGCATTGTGATATCTTATCTCATTATTTGGTTAAGTGTTAAAGTTTTAAGGATAAGTACCTCGATGTGTTCTGGTTTCGTGAGGTTTATTTCTGGCACGTGCCCCATCCACGTCCGATACAGAGGCTGGTACGTGTCGCACTCTCTGTTTCGCATGTACAACAGCTCTTAAACAAAAAAAAACATCGCCTGCTGCTTTTATCTTCAGCATTGTAGGGTTTGAGGTTTTCACGGCGATGAGTACGAAGATGGCTGTCTTCTGGGTTGTAGCGCTGTGTAGTCTGATGATGCAGGCAGAAGTGACCTCTGAAACGTTGGTAAACTTGTACCAGACTACACGGCGCTACAACCCAGAAGACAGCCATCTTCGTACTGAGGCAGTGGAAACATTTGCTTCATACGGACTGGTATATGGGATACAGCAGTTATCAGAAAATTGGTAATATTCTGGAAAAGCGTGTTTCATACTTGCTTATGCTCCAAGAAGTTGTTTGATATAATCTCTGTACCTGTTCTGTGACCCAGAATGAGGGGTAATAATGTTCCAACAATGGGATAGGAGGGTGGACCTGGTAAACGATCTGCCAAGAGTTTGAGGTGAGCTCTGGCGGTGCTTTTTATAAACAGCGATAAGACCACTGCAACCAGCAGTCCCAGCAGAAATAGCTGAGTCACGGTATCCATTGTTGTCTGCAAGAAACACAAAACAGTGCCTTTTTTACACTACATCAGGATCTCTCTCTCTCTCTCTCTCTATATATATATATATATACAGGGTTATTCATAATTCCCTGACACATTACAAAAAATCGCTAGACTTGAATGGTGCAAAGGATTGTAACATGCGACATGCCGATAGAAAGAGAAACTCTCCAAGTTTATTTTACATGCCTCATAAATGCTCTATGTGTCCGCCCTTTGTGACGCGGCAGACGTCACGCCGATAACCCATTTTCGCCCATCCCCGCTGCAGCATGTCAGGATCGATTTTAAGATGACAGCGATGATTTGTCTTCGCAGCTCAGGCAGATCCTGTGGCTGAGGCTGCACGAAGACCTGGTCCTTAACGTACCCCCATAAGAAGAAATCGCATGGCGTCAGGTCAGGTGATCGGGGTGGCCAACGACGCAGCGCATGGTTATTGAGCATTTATGGGGTATGTAAAATAAACTTGGAGAGTTTCTCTTTCTATCCGCATGTCCTATGTTACCATCCGTTGCCCCATTGAAGACTAGCGATATTTTGTAATGTGTCAGGGAATTATGAATAACCCTGTATATATATGGTGCAGGATATTCTTTGGAAAGTCGATTGTATACTCGGCTTGTCAAACAATAGCGCACTTTCTTTGCGAAACCCGAAGGTCCATCGCCGTGTTCACAAAACCCTGCCACCGGACTCTGTCCCGAGCCAGGTGCATCCAGTTCGCTCCATCGATTCCTGTTTCCCTAATGTCCATCTTAATGTTATCCTCCCACTTACTCGTAGGTCTTCCCAGCGGTGTCCTCCCTTCAGGGCTCCAAACCAATACCTTCTTAGGAACTGATACAGGAATAAATTCCTTCCACTGCTGTGGCATTTTCTCCTTATCCTGTATAGAGCAAATAAGTTGGTGTGTTTTGGAACGCAGAGTTTCGCCTCCGGTCTTGATCAATTCGCCCGGAATCTGACGAGTACCCGGGGATTTATACTTTTTTCAATTTCTCAATGGCAGTCTCCACTTAAGTAAGGCTAGACTCTGGCGCTAATGGGCCAGTCGTATTTACATCTGCGAAATATCATGAACCGATACTTTTGGATTATTAGACAAAAACACGGAGGTCGCTTCTTTTGAAAATTGTGCCGTATACCGAATTTAATACAAAATGTAATTACACGTTTTGTCACCACGTCATTATCCTAAAGTATTTTGCGGTTTGAAACATCAGTCATTAAAGAATCTAACAATAAGTTATTATCATCATAATCTTTAACATCTCAGTTTTTAATTTATTCTGAAATGCACTAATTGTTTGCATTAAATACGGTTACTCGATGAGAGGTTTGGTACGTCCCGAGGTTTCTAGAAATGCCTACTGATTACATGGACAGAAGTCCTTGAGAGATTTATGGTGACTCGGCTAATCAAGAAATTATTATTATTTATATTATGCACATTAGCAAACCAAATGTTTGAAATGTGCAAAGTCTACTTCACTTAAATAAGTACAGTCCAATAAGAATTTTGTTACGAACTTACGGGTTTCATAAAATCAGGGCATTTCTTTGTAAAACAATTGCCAGACAATGAGAACGCCGAATAATGTCGTCAGAATATGTAGGAAATAAGTCTATTCTAGAAGCATTATGAATAAAAATGAGATGTATAAATCTCCCCTGAAGTTGTTAATGAAGACACAGACTTGCTTGCGTCCTTAGAGTTCGTTGTTTTAACAAGACACCATCGTCACAAACTTCAGATTTGCTTTAGGACTCAATCTGATTAAAAATACGTACAATTCGGCGGAATCTTACCTTTAATTAAACAGTTGTAAGTTACATAATGCCTGTCACAAAGTACTGAAACGGTTTTCAAATCTTATTAAATTGTCTCTCTGTGTTATAAATCGTTTTGCCGGCTTTAAGGCACTTCGTGGACTCCTCAAACGTTCTTCTGTTACCTTTCTTGTGGTCTGTGAGGAACTGTGCATGTCCTTTATAGATTCGGCCACAATAGGCTCCTCCTACCACTCATGATGCAACCTTTCAGCAACCAGCCTTTATATTTATCGCTGGAACTTTTTATGACATTTCATAGTAATTATAGATGACTTTTGTAGTCTTTGAAGTGTCACGGCCATTTGTGATAACTAACTAGATGGTTTAAGGAACCCTAAGGCTGGGCGCAGACCAATGTAGCACACGTCCTTTTGGCAAAGCTCTATGCAGAAGTGTTCTTGCTTCCACTGAAAGCAATTGGTACATTGGTCTGCGCCCAGCCTAAGGTTCATCACCGAATTAACCAAAGCCCTCCACCGGACCCTGTCCTGGGCCAACAAAATCCAGTCTCCTTCAACTCCTATCTCCCATAGATCCCGCCTGAGATTATCCTCCCATCTACGTCTAGGTCTCCCCAG